AAAGTAAAATGCTACCAAACTATGTTTACCGAGATATTCGGCATAATCATTTGCCTATTTTGAAAGTTAAATTTTACCTAACATTTGTGAAAAACCTTATCCAACACCTGTTGTGTTAAAATTGTACCTAACTATTAGCAGATTCGTATGGCACATTGCAACTATTTGCAAATATTACACAATTTGTGTAATCTTTTCTGTGTATGTGGGGAATTTTAAGATTATTTTCTTTTTACGTTTCTAAAATGTATAAACAGGCGCGGATCAGGGGGGTTGGGGTGTTGGGGGTCAACCCCCTCCCAGCTCTGTAAAAAATGTTTTTTTTTCATATAGAAATTCAAAACAAGTTATGCAAACCCCAACCCCCCAGCTCTGACACTCTAAGAAAAATATACTGGTTTTAATGTCCGCCTGTGCACAATATGCTAACATAGCCAGATTTGTTAGGAGGGAATTTATCTACTATTCTGTAATATAGTGTTAATGGTCGTCGGATTGAACACCCCCATTGAAATTATGGTATGAGCACCCCCCCCCCCCCCCCCCCACCCCTATTGATTTCGCGGAGCTAAGTGCCCGGACAAAAAAAAATGTCTATATTTCAGCAATGATTTGCTGACGACCCCCCCCCCCTGCAGAAAGTCCTGGATCCACCCCTGATAAAACTTAATCTGTTAATTAAGTTTCTTACATTCTATACATTTCATATATATTCTAGGCATTTATATCTGAATTTATGATCATTTAGCTTGGAAAAAAACACAGCAAAAACATTATTTAAAGCTTGACTGATTCACTGCCCCATTGGCTTGTGCATAAACCGCATGTCTTATTTGACATCAATTCCCTTGATGCAACACGAATATCAGAAAGGTTCAAAGGGCATTGAGCAACAAATGGTATGTAGCGAAAACACAGGTTTTCAGAGCCATTTTCCCCAACTGTTTCATGCAACTGAACCATTCTATTGTCATCCTATTTCGACAGTTTCTATAATTTCATTTGATTGTGTTGGATTTTGATATTGCACCGAGCGGACGAATACGATAGAAGTATTTCTTTTCAATGCAAATGCAGTTGAAATAGTAAACAACTTAATGTTGTATTTGCACCGCACAAAAAATTGAGATCAAGGAATTGTGTGATTTCACAATATTTTCATTTGGGCAATTTTTTTTCAGAAATGAATAAACTCAATGAAATTAACAAACTCACCGATTGCATTTGTATATAAACAAACTCAGGGTACAAGCTAGCCGCTTTCATTTGTATGTACTGGTTTTTTTCTTTACAATACATTTAGTTTTTTACCTTTATCGTAATATTCGTTTACATTTATCACTTGCAAAATTTACCTTTGAAAGTTTAGTCATACTTTCTTTTATATATTTTCTTCCTGGGCATTGATATTATGTCTCTGAAATAGATGTGAATTTCCTTTACAACCATTTCTCAAAGTCGTCTCATTTAAGACCATTGTAAAGACTGTTAAATGTCAAATATTTTGCTGATGAAAATGCCAATTGTGAGCCTCAGAAGCACGCAACAAGTACATACATGCGCACAAACTAAATGACACCTATAATATGAAAAGACAGGGATATATCGTCGCTGATCATTGTGCTGTGTCACATTCGTTATGATCTGACATTGAATTCATTTTGGAGAGCCTATGAGCTACAACATGTGCCCCATCCAGAGCTAGCTCCCAATGTTACCGATCCAACCCTACCCCTACAACCCTACCACCAGTCCCCACCACTTCACCCTACCCCTTCACCCCACCCCCATTTCCGTTCCAATAGTTTACGGGAAATTGCTACCTTTGGGAAAATGCAATCATTATTAACTAACTTTGCTTGAACAGCCCCGTCCTTTATTTCATATATTACAGTATTTATATTATTCAATGTTTTATCAATAACGATCAACCGGTGAACGCATCCAAATATCTTACCTTAAAAAGGTTGTTCGCTGTCTTCATGCAAATCCTTCGATAGTCCAGTGAGAAGACTAAGACGAAACGCAAGAAGTGAAGCTCTTCTGATGCAAACAGGTAAAGCGATTCCCACCAAGGCCCAAACCAACAAGAGACAGATCACGCCACAGTGACTCATAGCCCAATTAGTGGTTTATTGATAGCATTATCTAGTTGAAGTGTTTACTACAGTAGGAAAAAAGATAATTTTGTTCCTATTATTAGCATGGGTCCAACTTTGAGTATTGAAACTTCGAGAGTTTAGTCAACTTTCATCTTTCCCACACATAGGCCTTAACCTACTACCAGCCTGCATCGTGTCTAAGGTCGTCCATATTATTCAGAGAGAAATATCTGGTAAAGATGCAGCTGCACCTATATAGTTGGCTTATTGATGCCAAGTGCGTATTCTCTCGAGATCTGTTTATGTCAATGAGGTCATCGTGGGTTGATATCACGGAATAAATTAATATAGCCATATTTGGCGAGATGTAGTGGATTTTTTTTCAGAATGGTCAGATGTCTTTCAATGCTTTCATTGTGCGATGTCTTTCATGTTTTCATTCCATAGGTACCTAGTGTGTACAGAGAGTACGATTGAAACTGAACACTGCCCTGCGAATATATCACCGAACGTTCGGCCACACAAATCTAAATGTAGTGACATCGCAACAGACATACAGGTATATTATTAGTTCAATACAATTACACCTCTTTGTTTGATTGAAGTTCTCGGGAAAAGATACGACTATCAGTCTTCTCCTTTAATACAGACCCCCAAAAATGAGCAGTGAAATTGAAAACAACTTTTGGTAAGATCATGGCAACCGCAATGGTTTCCGTCTTCTTATTACAATTGTCATGGGAAAATCTGTACTCCAGAATGTAATGTGATTGGGACCCCCCCCCCCCCCACTTCTCCAGGGAGATCATTGGAAAAAAATTGAAAAAAAAACAAGCAACAAACCAAACAAACACACATTTTTACACATTTTATCGTTTGATTTGCAAAAATCTCTTCTCTTTTTGTAGTAAGGCCCAGGTAAAAAAAGTGAAGCAGCAGCAGACTAATCCTCGAGTTTAGACGTAACTCGAGTGCGACAACAATGGACAATCTGTAGGCTATGCCATAAATAAGTAGGCCTTATTGGGAAAGGCAATTCTCCAATGTCCTAATTCTTGAGTGCTTTTGAAATCCTTTGTCTCAACTCTTCTCTGTGGCTCAAGGTCTCTTGGAGCAGTCCGTCATACATAAACGAACTGTGCTCCAAAAAACTCACCCATGTTTACGTTACATACCAAGTGTGGACATTCCCTTGGTTTCGTGTAGTTTAGAAAAACCTCTGAATAAAAATCATTTTCCTCTCACTGTGAAAACTCTTTCAATCCATTTTTTTTCCTATGATTCCCTTTAGCATTTCTCTTCATTTTGCCACAAATAAACCTAACCCAAAAATGCCTCTAAACCTGTTTTCCAGAAAGGGGGAAACACTGTGTGGACTTGCCCTCGTCCACACAACGTCGCCTCGACCTGGTTTATGTGGACCTCTTTTGTTTGGGAGTCCACACAGTGAATGTAATGCCTACCCGTACCCACTGCCACACATCGTCAAGACACTTTTGCCCACTTCACCACACGACTATTCATGCTCATACTGCCTGTTGAATAAAATTATTTATGAATTAATGTTTTGTCTATGCCGCAAGTAAAATGAGGCGGCATCTTCTAGTCCAAAGCCTCCTGATAAATCCACCGCAGATTGTTCAAGCATGCCTCATTATTCAAACTCCACATCAGTTTCACGAACGATACAAAATCCCTAACTTCTTCGCTCTCCAGATGCCTCCTTACGTAGTTTCATAAACACGAAGACCTTAACCTCACGTGCAAGAGTTTACAGCAAGGAATGCGAGGACGGCAAATGCTGGGATGCTTGACGCCCAAACACCCGTGGCACCAGACAACACCGCCTTAGGAGTGACCCCTGCAAATAAAAAGTGGCAACAGAATATATTGCTTGTTAAGTGTAAATTTAAGACGCTCAAAAAAGGAAGCTGGCACTCCTGAAGTGTTTCAAGCGCCCTCCCCTCCCATCGCCATTGTGCTCAAGCAGTCGCTAAACCAACAAATTTACCCGGACTCTCAAATTACGTCACTTTCTGAAAATCGGGGGAAAGCAGACAGGTTTTTCAATAAGGTGAGTGGGACGATAATGTCATTACAGTCGACTCTCGCTAACACAAACTCGGCCGGACCTAGCCAAAATATGTGTTATATCATAAAGCATCGAGTGGGGGTGGCAGTCTCATTAACTGTGCACATTAATGCATAGTCGGAACCAAGGCGTTATGTTTGCTATAACCAGATTTTGTTTTATTAACAGTGCATTAACAACAGTCGACTGTTTTAAAGCAGAGTTTGAGAACCATAGAGAAACAACATCCTCACTTATTTTCCCGTATACCTTTAAATGCAAATTTCCAGCCAACTATTTTTCCTCGTCTAAACAGTTTGATTCGAGCACTTCGCGCAAAAATTAATATTTGTTGACGAATGTTTCTGTAATGAAGCAGTAAAACCGCACGTCAATATGTATTAATAAATACCATGGAGAGTTGATGGTTTCTGATTGGTCGAGACTCGATCACGTGGCCGGGCATTAACGGTGATAATGGACCGGCTTCAAAGATCAAGCGAATAAATGGCCCCTGAACCAGCATTGATCCAGCCCCGTTCAGCCCCATGCAAGTGTAACCGAGCTGGAAAGGTTACGCAGAAAAATTTGAAAGTGACACTGGGTATATATTCCACTATAAATTGATCAAAATTTTATTACAAAAAAACGACAGTCATTCTTCAGCAGTCTGTAATAACAGAAAACAGAAGAATAGAAATTAATTTATTTACAAATATACAATGACTATGAATCCAATATTCAATTATTTAATTATTTGAAATAACCATCTCTCCTTATCCTTGGCTATCTTTTATCATGAGAAATTGCTTTACTTGTTCTATAAACCTCAATTTCCATTGATTTGTTCCATAGAAATGTTTTTGCTGCGAATTTACAAGTACATTTCTTAGAGAGGCATAAAAATATTAAAGGCATAAAAATTTAATCAAGGAGAAATAATCTCCATAAGCACTTGCTATGCAATAATTTTACAACACATTAATCTCCAAATCTCCAAATCTCCAAATCTCCAATTTCCAAGGCACATTTCAAGCAATAATGTTTTACACACGTACCCAAATATTATGGATGCTGGATATGGGATACACTGGTCTACTCGAGAAGGCTTCTCTATTTGTGACCACTCAGGAACCACAGAACCACAAGCAGTAGCTGTAATAAAATTACTGTACATATTAAGTAATCTCCTAAATACTAATAAATGTTTCGATGAAGGAATATTAAATAATCATCAGTGCCATCAAAAAGTTTCATCTCCACAGTACATGTGTACACATCCGTAGTTATTCTATATTGATGAATTTACAATGCATTTTATACCGTACATCTACATCTTAACATTTGTTTGTTTAAACAGTAAGGCTCGTAAAAAGAGTATTCAATATTCTGTATTCGCACATCCATCCATATGTCTCATGGTTTTATTTCAGGCTAAAACATTCTCTAAGTTCTCTTTCCATCCACGCTATCCAAATTTGAGTTCCATAAAGTGCATTGACCCTATAATTCAACATATTTAGGATCGAAGTATGTGCAAGTATACAGTCAATATTACAAGGAAATTCGGTATCGAAAATTCAAGTCATCTTATGCACAACAATCTTCATACAGACTTGGCTTTAAACCTGGGAGATTTATTTTATGGCATAAAAATGTTTCATACAGACTTGGCTTCCAACCTCGAGTATTCATGGCATAAAAATGTGTCGTAAAGTGCTATTTAAGATAACATCAAAATTTACGAAGTTGAAACACTTACCGGAGCAGTTGTGGCCTGTGTACCTATGCCTCGGGATGTTTGGGCAAACTACACGATATGCATGTACATGATATGTGTATGCACATGCGGCGTGCTAACCATGGCAAAACCACGTGAGAAACACAGCAAAATATAGACAAGCTGGCTCGCAATAAGGTGTGGCTGGCAGCAGCAACGACAAGCAGTCAAGTGACCTACCCATGCTTGCTTACTCTCCAAGAAAACTAGCGAAAAATTCACGGAATGTGCGTCCGAAGCCCTATGCTTTTGAAACACTGCACGGAATAAAAGACTTTTTCGCACTGCATGTCATATGCAAATTGTTACGCAACTCGGTATGCTCTATTCAACGGAAAACACAAGAGGGCACTCGCAATGCTTCGACGACTTTCGCATCGCTGTTTATGCTAAAAATATTAGACATCGACAAAGAAATATTTTACAGACGGGACCTGGCAGCATGATTACAGGAATTTAAGTCTGGCCGGTCACAATCATCCGGGATTAAAAATTGTGTAATGAAAAATATTCTCAAAAGACAAAAAAATTATCTTGGCAGCTCTAGACTGAGTGAGACAGTGGACAGGAAATGTTTACTTAAAAAAAATCCTTCACCAGTTCTTCAGAATGAAGTTGGACTATGATATGTACACATGGTCGAGAGCACGATAAAAGAATGTCCACCACTAGTATATGACTAGTGAAATGAGATGACCTCAATGGACCTTAAATCTAAAACTCCCAATTTGGCCAATGATCAGACATACGAAAGCCCTAACTAAATGAAAATCTGGCTATCTGTTTCTCAAAATAAAACATTCCCTAAAAAAACATCCATAATATCAGTATTAATTAAAATGGCAAGATAGTGTGGAATGGTGGGATAGAGAAAATGGTAAAAATATGGCCCATCTCTAGCATGTCGCTAGAGAAATAGAGATTACATTTATCTCAATTGGTCCAAGAAACCTAATTTCTCAAGATGATCATATACTACACTATCCTTCACTATAAAAAAATCCAAGCATCTGGCTAACACCTACATGTATTTTAAAAAGAAAATCCTCAACATATACTTACAGGGCCTCTTTCATCCCCAACCTAAACATGTTTATTTATCCACGTTGGGTTAGCTAATCCCAACATATAGTGGTTAAAACGAAATTAGGACATGAAGAGAATAAAATTTACCAAATACTGGCTACTATCAATACGGATAAAAGGACTGTACAGTTCAAGAATGACATACAGGGTCTGCATTAGATCTATCCTGGGTTTTAAATGTACAGGTGTCATTCCTCCAAAAGTCTCAAATCTAGAGCAAATACTCTACTTTCTGCGACTATGAATTCAATATGTTTCAACCAGAGACTACAAACTAGTTATGTGAAAAAATCAATACACGGACAATACAAGTACAGGCAGCATGAGCAAGCAATTAGCATGCATTACCTTAACACGTATTCTACGCAGCGTCAGTAAAGAAACAGATACGATATGCTACAGCGGTTCGCGGATACGAGAGACTGAGCAACAAGCGGGTAGTAACTGCAGTGAAGATAGCAGGGCAGGGAGCAGAGCATGAGGTACAGAAGCCAGAACTGTCCCTGGAAAGCTTAAACCTGCAGATATAAAAAGAAATAAACTACCACGGTGTTACTAAAATATTCACACAATATACGAGTATATACTCAAATGTGAAATATCTATAACGTCGACTCCAAGGCAAACTTGATTTTACGAAAATAGCTGATCTTCAATCGGACCAATCAAACAATCAATCTGTTCTATGTATGTGATAAAGCTGTTTCTAACATGCAAAACTTCCATTGTCAAAACGACATGCTCAATGGCTACAAGTTAAAATACAAATGAATATGCAATATTAAAATGTTAAAAATCTTGACTGCACGACACTGTTCCCAGTGAATATGTTTACAGTTCACCATCAGTGAAAGAGTTCCGTAGCTGAATACTAGCAGCACACTCCACGGCCGCTCGGCTGAAAAACAGGTAATGTGAAGAATGGCTCTCCAATCTGTCCCAGACGACGGTGCCAAACTGTGGGGAAGATGTGTGTAGCTACGTATAAAAATACTCTCACTTCCGACGAACATCTGGGCAGCTGTCTGTCCGGAGACTAGATGATGTAAAACGCACTGCTGCAGCAAACCACCCTTCTGATGAAAGACGCTTCTCTCAAGAAGGTTGTCATCGAAGATGATGATGATGATGATGATAATAATGACTGTCGTTTATATTTGATCAAATGTGTCACAAATAAGGATGTCTTTTATGACATCCTGCCGACTACGCCATTTTTGTAACCGAGCTGGAAAGGTTACGCAGTAAAATTTGAAAGTGACACTGGGTATATATTCCACTATAAATTGATCAAAATTTTATTACAAAAAAACGACAGTCATTCTTCAGCAGTCTGTAATAACAGAAAACAGAAGAATAGAAATTAATTTATTTACAAATATACAATGACTATGAATCCAATATTCAATTATTTAATTATTTGAAATAACCATCTCTCCTTATCCTTGGCTATCTTTTATCATGAGAAATTGCTTTACTTGTTCTATAAACCTCAATTTCCATTGATTTGTTCCATAGAAATGTTTTTGCTGCGAATTTACAAGTACATTTCTTAGAGAGGCATAAAAATATTAAAGGCATAAAAATTTAATCAAGGAGAAATAATCTCCATAAGCACTTGCTATGCAATAATTTTACAACACATTAATCTCCAAATCTCCAAATCTCCAAATCTCCAATTTCCAAGGCACATTTCAAGCAATAATGTTTTACACACGTACCCAAATATTATGGATGCTGGATATGGGATACACTGGTCTACTCGAGAAGGCTTCTCTATTTGTGACCACTCAGGAACCACAGAACCACAAGCAGTAGCTGTAATAAAATTACTGTACATATTAAGTAATCTCCTAAATACTAATAAATGTTTCGATGAAGGAATATTAAATAATCATCAGTGCCATCAAAAAGTTTCATCTCCACAGTACATGTGTACACATCCGTAGTTATTCTATATTGATGAATTTACAATGCATTTTATACCGTACATCTACATCTTAACATTTGTTTGTTTAAACAGTAAGGCTCGTAAAAAGAGTATTCAATATTCTGTATTCGCACATCCATCCATATGTCTCATGGTTTTATTTCAGGCTAAAACATTCTCTAAGTTCTCTTTCCATCCACGCTATCCAAATTTGAGTTCCATAAAGTGCATTGACCCTATAATTCAACATATTTAGGATCGAAGTATGTGCAAGTATACAGTCAATATTACAAGGAAATTCGGTATCGAAAATTCAAGTCATCTTATGCACAACAATCTTCATACAGACTTGGCTTTAAACCTGGGAGATTTATTTTATGGCATAAAAATGTTTCATACAGACTTGGCTTCCAACCTCGAGTATTCATGGCATAAAAATGTGTCGTAAAGTGCTATTTAAGATAACATCAAAATTTACGAAGTTGAAACACTTACCGGAGCAGTTGTGGCCTGTGTACCTATGCCTCGGGATGTTTGGGCAAACTACACGATATGCATGTACATGATATGTGTATGCACATGCGGCGTGCTAACCATGGCAAAACCACGTGAGAAACACAGCAAAATATAGACAAGCTGGCTCGCAATAAGGTGTGGCTGGCAGCAGCAACGACAAGCAGTCAAGTGACCTACCCATGCTTGCTTACTCTCCAAGAAAACTAGCGAAAAATTCACGGAATGTGCGTCCGAAGCCCTATGCTTTTGAAACACTGCACGGAATAAAAGACTTTTTCGCACTGCATGTCATATGCAAATTGTTACGCAACTCGGTATGCTCTATTCAACGGAAAACACAAGAGGGCACTCGCAATGCTTCGACGACTTTCGCATCGCTGTTTATGCTAAAAATATTAGACATCGACAAAGAAATATTTTACAGACGGGACCTGGCAGCATGATTACAGGAATTTAAGTCTGGCCGGTCACACAAGCCAATGATTGGTCAAAATATAGTAACAGTCCTGCGGTAGCTTGTAACAATAGAGCACTGCACATGCGCTCAACCCCCATCGCGTGAGACTGACGCGCGCGTACGCAACACAGTTGCTAGGGATGCGTGCGTGCGCGCGCGTAAGGAAGTTTTGAAACGACATCGTACAGCTGTGCAGTATATACTGAGGATGTTTACGACGAAAGCGTAGATCTACGATTTATTTTCTTTGAACTCTTCCCCACCGACATATTTACCTTTCCTAAACCAAGCATCTTTGTAATTCCGGACACAAGGAATGTGTAAACGAGATTTCAGCTTCCTCCATCAGGTAAAGATATGAAAACATTGTTGTAATTTGTTTCGCTACGGCAGCAGTTTCTGTTGAGTTTACGTAGCTGTTTAGCTAAAATATGGCCCATGAACATGAACACAAAAAAAGTCTGGAAATATCGCCGAAAGAAAGTCACAAACTTGGAGCATTTTAACTGTTTATTTCGTTAAAAAGGTATTTATTAATGGGAATAACAGTGTGAGGATCCGGTCTTCACTGCGTGATAATGACCGGGTGTGGGGGGTGACCGCTGTTAATGGACCTCGACTTCGTCTCGGTCCATTAACAGCGGTCACCCCCACACCTGGTCATTATCACGCAGTGAAGACCGGCTCCTCACACTGTTATTCCCTTATGAAAAGATACAGGCCTATGCATCAGATTCCGGAGTAAAACCTGTACATTTAAAACAACCACCTGTTTGGCTTACTTTGTGCAGCTGTAACCTTGGCAACCGTCGTTGTTGTCAATAGTGGCGTAGATGGAGCATTTTCTAATAATAAGAATGAAAAGTCAAACAAATTTCATTGCGTGCAGCTTAACGTTTAGCTTGGCAACACAGATTCAATGTGTGACTTGTTGAGAGTTATTCATATCGAATCATCCAACGAAAGAAAGAGAGCTTTCTAGATTTTGTTCGAGTCTTCAAATTGCCTATTTCACAAGCTTACTTGAAATAGAAAAATGTAAACACTGTCAAGAATGGAACAAAGTTACACCCTACCCAGTGGTTAGGACTTGAAAAGACAAAATAAGCTGATTTCAGACAAGGGCGGATCCAGAACACAATTTTTGGGGGGCCAAAAAAATGTGGTCCCCCAAAAAAGTGGGTCAAAAAATTACGGCGTGGGGTTCGGGGCCCGCTTAAGGGCCCCGAAATTTTTTTGGATTCTAGATGCTCTGTGGGGCGATCTGAGGCAATTTCTGACCACTTTAACCAATGTTTTTTGAGGAAAAGATGGTGGTGTACTCATTGCCTGCCTTTATTGCGATGTCACATTAAAAAAAAAAAATTGGTTTCGTTTTGGGGGGGGGGGGGCCCATGGCCCCCTTTGGACCCCCCCCCCCCTGGATCCGCCCTTGACTTCAGAACTAAGAGTACAAATCTGAACTATTTAACTCTGGCATAAAAATGCGTATTAATTCAGGAACATTTGCAGCAACGGTGTCTTGCCCAAGGGCAGACACGATCGCAGTGCTCCGCAATCAGAGGCCTTTCCCAGTGTTTCACTTGGCGAAATTACACCTACTTGATCGCGCATATGACCTTTCACCTACTTCATCTATCAGGAGGTAAGAGTGCAGAGTTTTGTTAGTTTTTTTGCCAATTGCTGTCGAAATGTCACAAGCGCTGCAACCTCGAAAAAAATATTTGGCTATAATTTGTGTCTATGTGCAGCTTGATCTTGTTAAGCACAAACTAGTGAAACAAAACAAAGCAAGAAATATTGTGGAAAAGAGAAAGGAACATGTGATTCAAGAAAATGTTTTTCTGGAATGAAGATTATGTTCCTTACTTGGGATGCTGTGGTCCAATGGTTACGGTGTTCGACTCGTGTGCCGTGGTACATGGGTTCGAATCCTGACCGTGGGAACATGGTGCTTGTGCTCTTGAGCAATGCACTTTACCATTATTGCTTCCTCCTTCGGATGGAACGTAATGTCGTAGGTCCAGTGCATTGTGAAATGCACGTTAAAGAACCCAGTAACACTTATCGCTAAAAGAAGGGGTTTGCCCTAATGTTTCTGGCAGTGGCTGCAATATGCGCCGAAGCACCTTGTAAACCCTTATAAGGTGCTACATAATGGGTCTCATATTTCTCATAAACTTCATAAGTTGTCTTTAATAATAGACATAATTTCCAGGCTCTTGAGTACCTAATTGTTGGTAGATACGTGCGCTATGTAAGACTCCGGTATTCATATTATTGTTATTATGATTAACTCACGATCGTGCTGGTAAACACGGCAGCCCAATTATATATTTAATCGTAAGCATTTTGGACAAAACTTGGATAAATCACTGTAATTCAGTCCTTATAAAGGCTGTTTCATAAATCATGTGAATGCAAAGCGAATTTGACGTCACCAAACATTCACTGCGAAATTTGCCAGAGCTGAAATCTGTTATGTTTTGAAAATTCTCAGCATGAAAACATGCTGTGATGTCACGAATTTGCAATAGCGTTCACGCTCACGCTGGGCACATTCATCCCTTGTTAGTTGTTACTTCGCCTTTCTGGTAAAAAAAAAAAAGCAGCTCCAAATTATTTCTTTGCAGTTTTGAACAGAAAACCTTTGACCAATAGTCATAACTGTAAAACCAGTCCTTACAATCCTCCCCCTTTTCATGTCTTCCCCGTTTGTGAAATCAATACAGAGAGAACTCTGCCACGTTCTCCAGCTCCCAGCCCATACACTCGTAATTATGATTAAACGTGTAATTAGCGCTAATTAGCTGGCTTCTTAATTGGACTTAGCACCAATTATACTTTTCTTAAGTATGCAAATACAATTCAGTACACGATAAACTTTCGTAGGGTTAACGCATTTGGAGAGTATTTTCTAGTTTTGGAAGCTTTCGGAATATAATAACATGAACAGCGCCCTCACACAATCATAAATTTACGCCCATGCTTATACCACCCAAAACCTGGCGACACGTCACTGGCTGAACACAGGAGAAGCGTGTCTTCGAAAGGAAGATTGAAGCATCATCACCTACCGACTGCGTACAAATATAAATGCTCGGTCCCTGCGTTTCATTGGATTCTTAGCAACGTGTATACGCCGAGAGAGTGTGAGGTCACCTCCCTATTTCACGCTCACTACCTTGACAATGGGTCATGTGCTTTCCGTAACGACAAATTGCACGTACGTTCAACACAAACAATCACCCACTCTTGTTTTACTTTACTCCCCGAGAAATTGTGTGTGGGTGTGTGTGTTTTACTTTGTCCCTGTAATATAACACTCTCCCATAG